TGGGTGAATGCAGCCCGGGGGGGACCAGCCGCGCTGCGGCCGGTATTCCCAGCCCTGCTGCGGGAACATGGGATGCAGCTCCGGGAGGAGCAGCCTCGCTGCAGCCGGTATTCCCAGCCCTGCTGCGGGAACATGGGATGCAGCTCCGGGAGGAGCAGCCTCGCTGCAGCCGGTATTCCCAGCCCTGCCTTGGGAATGTGGGATGCAGCTCCGGGAGGAGCAGCCCTCGCTGCGGCCGGTATTCCCAGCCCTGCCTTGGGAATGTGGAATGCAGCTCCGGGAGGAGCAGCCTCACTGCGGCCGGTATTCCCAGCCCTGCCTCAGGAATGCTGGATGCAGCTCCAGGAGCAGCAGCCCTCGCTGTGGCCATTACCTGCTGCGTCGGGGCCGGCGCTGCGTGTCCCAGGCCACCTAACAGCACCCGCTCGCTCAGCCTCCCAGCATCCTGCCAACAACTTTCGCTCCATTTTCTCCTGGAGGAAATAAGCCCTGAGGCAAAGCCAGGCCACAACCTTATAAAGACACATAACCAACTCAACATTAGACGAAGGCATGGCCGTTAATACAATTTGTGGAGCAGGAGGGGGATTTGGCTCCCGCGTCTCAGCCCTCCCGGTCAGGGTGATTCCCAGGCCAGGAGGAGCGGGGCTCACGCGGTCCCTGTCACCCCTCCAGTACAAGAAGCCGGGAGCTGTTTGCCGGGCGGTCAAGCACGACTGCGACCTGGCCGAGATGTGCACGGGCGCCTCGGAGCAGTGCCCGGCCGACCGCTTCCGCGTCAACGGGCACCCCTGCGACTCCGGCAGGGGCTACTGCTACATGGGGAACTGTCCCACGCGGGAGAACCAGTGCAAAGCTGCCTTCGGGCCACGTGAGTACCCGCCGGCGCCGAGAAAACCGTCTAGGGCAGGGACAAGGGTTCACTTAGCGCAGCAGCTATCGCCAAAGAGCATTCCAGTACCAGGAACAGCAGGTCTAGCTAAGCTCTACTTTCTAGCATATGCTTAAGCACTATTTTTGTGTTTACGTTATACGTGCTTATAATTGCATGAGCTGAGGGCCACAACACACTACATATTTCTAGAGGAAAAGGAAGTGGCAGGTTAATTCCTCTTTCGTGCAATGGTGACAGCTTTAGAATGGTGCTGGGTGAAGGTAGAATCTCCCCAGGGTAGATTGAGGAGATATTCATACTTCAAGCTAACGTCCAGACTTCCCACTAATGGGACTATTGCTGCTATTGCATATTTCCCAGTTAAAATTTGCATTTGTTTTTAAGAGCATGGATTATAGAGAAAATATGAGGGACACCCACATGACAAGTGCTGCTTTATGCAAGAGAAACACTTCAAAAATCCAGCCTAGCCCCATCTTCTCTCCTAAGCTTTTGCTACCATTGCATCTCTCTTTCCTGTTCACCAGAGGCTACCGAAGGTGCAGCTTCCTGTTACCGGATGAACGAGAAAGGGGTATATTATGGATACTGCAGAAAAGAAAAGGGTAGTCACTCCCCATGCAAGAAAAAGTAAGTGCTGTGTACAGGAGGGGGTGCTTTCTCTCTCACCTTCGGTTTGACTCAAGCAAAGACAGTTTTGAAGACCAATCTAACTTCCAAATAGCATTCTTGCCCAGAGAAGGGAGCAAAGCAAACGATCCTGAAGAAGCAACTAGCGTGTGTGTTTATCTGTGCCGGGTGTCTTGGGAAGGTGACTGTGTGTGTGTGTGTGTGTGTGTGTGTGCAGCTCCAGCTGTTTCCTGGAGCAAGGCCACTGCTCCAGCAGCTCCGCTTCTCCTTGCAGAGACATCATGTGTGGGAAGCTGTTCTGTGCTGGGGGCAGGGAGATGCCTCTGTACGGCAGCCTGGTGACTTTTGAGTCGTGCAAAGCCAGCTTTCCACACCACGGAGAAGCAGATCCAGGGATGATCCTCCATGGAACCAAGTGCGGAGATGGAATGGTAAGTGGAGGAAAGCTTTTTTTTCCCCTGTGTCTTTCGGACAATACCCAGAGGTTGAATGAGAAATTGCACCAAATTTTTAAGGAGGGTTTGAGTGATTTGCTTACCTGTTTCTACGGCTGCTGGCGCTCTCCATGGCGTCACAGCGCAGTGAGGAAGCTCTGCGTGTTCTGAGCACCGTGTGTCTCGGGTGACACGTGCCCTGTGTGTTCCAGGTGTGCAGCAACGGCGAATGCGTCTACGTGGAAGACGCCTTCAGATCCACCAACTGCTCTGCAAAGTGCTCCGGACATGCTGTAAGATACGGGCTTGTGATGTTACCCATCTTAAAAGAAAGTCGCCTACAGAGCTTTATCAATAGCAGTGTTTTTTTAAAACCCTTTAGGATAAGAATCTGCAAAAAAGCAGAGGCTTCCTATGCCTTTATGAACACAAATCTAACGAGTTATCAATATTTTTACTAGGGAAATTGCAGGACATTCTCTGGCCCTGCCACCAAGCTGCAGATCTCAGCCATTCTCTCCCAGGACTCCTTTGTTTCTTGAACATGATCGTGCTCATCTTATTTGAGCATTGAGAAACCCCACAACCAGGGCCCATGTGTCTTGCTATGTGCCTTATGCTGCAGCTTCTGCTGCAGAAATGCCTGTGAAAGGCACAAGAGAGCCCGCAAACGGGCCTGTCCTCTACTGCATAAAACAAGCACCGCTTTTACAGCTCCTGAATTTTAGTCCAAGGGAAACGAGCAGGGTTTTCCAGACGCAGCTCCAGGGAGCTCTTCCCAGGAGGCTGCGGCAGCGACACCCCCTTCCCTCCCCCGGGAGCCGCGCTCGACGCGCTCCTGCTCTCCGTCCCCAGGTGTGCGACCACGAGCTGCAGTGCCAGTGCGAGGAGGGCTGGGCGCCGCCGGCCTGCGACAGCTCCACGGCCCTCACCAGTGAGTACGGCGGGGCCGGCTCCGCGGCGCCCGACGGGCGCAGGGAAACGCTGCCCGCGCCGGAAAGGCCCGGGCTTAGCTGGCCTAAAGCGGGCAGCAACGACGGGCTTCAAATCCCTCTGCGCTGGTGGTAAGACCAGAGCCATGAGCTTGGCCACCCGTGGGGTAAATGAGAGCCCGGACACACGGTGTGAGGCACCTTGGTGGGGAAGGGGCTGCCCGGCCGCCCTCGTGAATCGGGCGCTCACGCTCTTTCGCT